GTATTTTAGATGTCCGACTCCGATTGCTTTGGTTTTCGGATATGTTTTAGAGGACCGAAAAATAAGAGATACGTATTTTTTTATAGCGGCCCGTTTTCATATTTAGGGGGTGAAACCACCCCTCAAAGTTTCGACCCGGAAGTACTATCTCGAAAACCAGAGGAGATACATGAAAACTTTCAATTGGTGGCTTTGATGGTTTTTTATGTACAATAAACTGGTGCTAACAAATTGTCAAAAATACAATTTGTTTATAACAAAAAAATTTGTTATAACTTTATTTTACAACTTATTGAAATTTGCGTAATGACATAAAATGACGAGCACTTAATTCCAAATCCATTAGTATATTTATTTTTGAAAGTCTGCGAAACATGTTTTTCAGTAAGCCAACCTGATCGTGTGCCAAAAAAGTCATGTATAATAGATCAATTTTCATTTGTTACAAAGTTATAAGATAGACGTAGGAAATGTATACGAATAAATAAGTGTTTTTTTCTGTTGTATCCTTTTCAGTTCATATAACATATATTTTTTATATACATTTTAATGGTATCTTATAACTTGTCCGTTTTGATAATGGAATCACATAAAAAAAGACCAGAAGTTATTTTGTAGGAATGAGACTCCAGTATGTTGTTTTTGTTTATGACTGTATAATGAATAAGATCACATAAACAGAAGTTTTTGACGTTTCTTGGATGCCCTGATTTTTCAGGCAAAACGTATAATACAATTCTGCTATTATAACAGAGCTTGTCCTTTTTACCACTAAACCTACTACGACCGATCAAAATGACAGGTTTTGGCGTACTAATTCCTATCTTTCTGAAGGGTTCGGTAGGTTTAGTGTTAAAATAAATTTAGAGTACCGTCGTTGTTACCGCATTATGTATCTCTCATACTAAGTTTTCTATTTCGGGACGGTGAAATTCGAATAAAATCCACCAACAATTCACCTCAATTTCTGAACATTAGTTCGAAGCGAAGTGATTTCGAAGTCTGAACGGAGACAAAGCCAAGGATCTCGAGAATGAATTCGACTGCAGCGAACTGGGAACGCAAGTTATATCGGTTTACAAAGTTAGAGCCGTTAATGTGACTCTCCTTTAGCCTTGCCCCGGCTGTAGAAGTGCATCCAATACGCTAGCATTGCATAACTTACAATTCAAGTAATGAAAATTACGTCTTTCAGTGTTCCTCTTCAATTACGTTTACCTGTTTCGTTAACTGCTAAGTTACTGTAGTTTTAGCGTTCTTTTTTTCCCTAATTTCAATTTCAAACATCAGGAATATCAACACATCAGGAACACATAATATTCCGATATTATTTAAAATACAAATACTGATAGCATAAACGTATTAACTTTACTATTATCTCGTTTTAAATTGTATAATTTATGGAACTGCTTCAATTGTTTTTATTTTTATAGTGGGACAAAGACTTTACGTAATAATTACAATATTCTACAAATATAAGTCATGGTAAGCAGTTTATAACTCGCTACCTCAATATTAGCAATTGTTGAGAACATATTTCTTCTAAACAGCGTTTATAATGACACCAAAAGTTCTGAAACCCTTGACACTTCTCTTTCAAGATGAAGAACGAAGCAGTTGTCCTAACAACTCTTTCAATTTTGAACATCGGAAGCCGTGTAGAATTAACGATTAAACGAACTTATCTGTAAGTGAATTCGATCATAATTATACCAGCTGTCTCGTCCGAATAGATCAATAGGTAGTAACGCCAGTTGCACGATCCTATCACAATATTTTTAAATTTGGCACATTAAAAACAAGTGATGCCCACACAGGGTACTACTTCATGGCAGGTGGCGTAGCGCCTTGCTGACCATGCTGCGCTGCATTCCCGCAGTTCTCCATTTGTTTTTAAAATTATCTAGAGACAGACAGGCTGGAGAGCAAAAGAAATGAAGGGGACTATAACATATAATAATCATTAGAGGTATCTAATGTTTGAGGCTTATACAAGGGATGGGAGGGTTTGATCTATTCGGAGGAGACATCTGGTATAATCACGATCGAACTTCACATACAGGTAAGTTCGTTTAATCGTTAATTATACTTCAATGTCTCGTCCTCTAGATCAATAGGTAGTTGTTTAAAGTATGTTGTAGTCTTCACTTACAATCTATTCCATGAATGTTAGTTATAAGTTATGACTCATAACCATTGCAGTAAATGTTGTTTCCTTTGTTAAGAGTCTGTTATAACAACGAGCAAATACCCTCGACCTGTCTGACCAGCCCGCTGCTTCGTGTATTGCCTGTATGCTCAATCTCGAGATTCTGAGTAACCGATGTGACGGCATGTAGCGTACTCCTTCTTGGAACCAACAGACATCCCTGATTTTTAATACTTTTGCCCACCTTTCAGCAAGCGTGCTATGAAATTCCGGTCTGTTTTTCGAAAGAAGATGCCTGGGAAGTAGGCCTGCCTCGGCGCGTGGCCTGCCGGGGATCCAACGCGAGCTGCGTACTTCGTGCGACGTTGTCACGGTCTCAATGCCACTGTGTGTCTCTTTCCATCCTCCGGCAACTTCCTTCTTTACCCTGCAAATTCCACGTGTAACGTTTAATAATCTACGTATTAATTTAATCTCCTTTTAATATGTTGCTCAATTTTGGGTACAATACATTTTTTCAAAAGAAATAAAATTTTTCTCATTCATGTATTTTAACTCTTGACGTGTATAAACGTTCAGCGTCTCGTCAACATTCTCCGCCATTTCCAGACAATGGATGATTAACGGGCGCTTGCCAAACGCAGTCCTCACTACTTGAGATTCTAGGTAGGTCCTTCTAGAGAGGTTTCTAATACGTACGATGGAGACATACGACCGTAGACGAGAACGCAAGTTGACGGTCAAACGTCGTTGGCCAAGACGCGAAGAGTGAGAGAGACACAAGCGCCGAAGACGTGTCGCAATCGCGACAACACCGCGAAAAGTCGGGCCTACCTCCCAGGCATCTTCTTTCGAAAAACAGACCATAAGTCATCTCCTAGCAGTTCGAGAAGCTCTGCAGATAACTCTCGTTCTCTTCCACGTTTGCTTCATCATGGAGCGTTGGATTTTGTTTTCTAATCTCTTTCATTGACATACTGCAAAAATGACGTGATAGTGTCAACCTTTCAATGTCGCCGCCAGACAGCGCCATAGTACCGTTCTGCATATCTGAAAACAAGGTGAAGTTGCTGAAACAAATACAGCTCACCAAACTACTAAAAACTGAGCTCACAGTTCTTGGTACCCGTCGGACAAAGCTCAACATTCTCTTTGTCATTCTGCAGTTCCCAACATAGACTTTGGCTTGTCGACGCTCTACGCCATCTTTGTCAGGTTGTATCTGATATTGCGTATGGCTGGACATGCCTCTCAGGCGACGTTCGACGCCATCTTTGTCGTGTCGTAGCATCAAAAATAGATTACAATAAGACGCATCACGTGGGCTACGTTTATCACCGTCTTGATCAGACTTGTTATTATACCTTTCGTTTTAATATTTTCATGCGCAGAAGAAACCGATTTCAATGAAAGTTTCAGTATGTATATAACTAACATAAATCTTCGATACGTATTTATTAAATTTTCATTATAACCTCAGATTAAAAAGTTGTAAAAGACAACCTTTACTATTTTCTTCGCGATTCCAAACAATTGCAACATTTAAAATTTTTTTTATACATCATTTAATAAACTAATGTCTCTAACTTCACGAAAGAACTCATGTCATTTGGATCAATTTTAAAAAAGTTGTTCCGTTTTAAAGGGTGTACGAATACTTCTGACACCGACTGCACATATATTTAATATGATACGATGAGAATAAAGCTGCATTGAATCTTTTAGACAATGGAACATGATACAACAGAAAAATAATTACATTTTATAAATTTTGATGTGCTAACGCAAATATAATCGGGAACTCGGAGAATTTTGTGGTCAAATTTACCGTGAAAATTACTTCTTATTTATTTTTTACTTGACTGTTCCTTATATTCCTTGGCTTTCAACCTTCTCGCAGTAGTGTTCTTATTCCCCGGTGCATTTCTTAATAATGCACCGCTTTAATCTCACGCGCAAAAATACTAGAGAATCGTAACTCGTGTTCGGAACTTCTATAAAGCTAGGCAATTAATCGATACCCCCGATTGTAGAATAATTCGATAAGCCCTGACTAATTCGTCCAAGAAACGTCTATATGAATGTATACATATGATATGTATTTCATTTCTCCATATCGAATAATGATTTTTCGCTTTTGTGTGCCCATAAAACTGATGTACTTTTAATAAGTACGTAACATTATAAGTAGACTATGAATTTTATTCGTTTATGCAACATGGAAACCTGTGAAACGTAAACAGACGAACGGAAGTCAAAAAGTATATGCAACTGCCCGAAAGTATACGTTCTCGGCACTCATTCTAAAACAAGGTAAATGCAACAAAATTTGACCTAATCGTAATGATTTTTTGTCAAAGAACGTAGTGACGTGTCAGATTTTAGAATATGCATGTCTTTTATTAATCAACAGCAGTGCTTTGCATTGAAATACAAAAAGCATCATCTACTGCAGAAATCTCACATTACTTTCTGGGCGATACCATATTTCCTGCGTCACTATTCGAATTATATTTTCTGCTGCGTAAACAAATGATGTTACATCTCGCGAAATCGGCCCCACTTCTCGGTTAAAATGTAATCAAAGGTCAATAAATCTTCGGCTTTTACATACAAAGCTCACACTTTATCAGATTCTTATCGCATTAATGGATAACTTCAAGTAACCTGGGTATACACCATATAATGATCACTTCGCGGATCATACCCGTCGTTCCGGTATCAGCGTTCAGTTTTCTTCTAACACTATCACGGAACAGTGTAACGACGCGTGTTAGTGCCTTAATATGTGATTTTTGAACAGCCTTATCTCCGTTTGTAGAATAAAGTCAATTATTTCGAGTTGTTTAAAATGAATTTATTATTGATATTGACAGTGATTGGTTCTTTGTACTTGGGTGCAAATGGCGCCAGAATTTTAGCGGTATTCCCGTTCGAAGGGAGGAGTCATTACAATGTGTACGAGCCGGTAGTGAAGAGGCTCGCGGAGAAAGGTCACGATGTCGTTTCTGTGACGCATTTTCCGAGCAAGGTACCCACGCCAAATCTCACGGATGTGAAAATCACTTTGGACCTGCCAAAGTTGAATGATAGCGACTCGTTCATGAAAATTATGAATGCACCATGGTGGGCCCGACTCCAAATGATGCTTTACTACTGCGGCGTCGTCATATGCGATCCAGTGTTCCAGCATTCGGAGATGCAGAAGATTATTCAGTCCAAGGAGAAGTTCGACGTGTTCATTGTCGAAATCTTTTCCACTGAGTGTTTTCTGGGTATTGCTCACACTTTAGATATACCCGTTGTGGTTGGAATGATCAGCAGTGTCGCTGTGCCGTGGTCTAATGATATCATGAGAAATCCTGAGATCCCCAGCTACATACCTAATTATTTAAGCGGACTTACGGACAAAATGAACTTCTTTCAGAGGATTCAGAATACGTGGCATTTCCTATATACTAAGACTTTTTATAGGTAAAACTGGTCTTTGCTATTTTCAACTTTTACGATTAACATGTGGAACCACAGTGGGTTATGGTAACTCAGTCCGACCGATGACACCTGGCATTTCTGAACGGTAAAGGGTGGAAAGTTAGGGGTGTGATGTTTTGTCACAAGATTTGTGACTAAATTACTTATGCAGGGTATAACAAAAGTGTTGTTGGTCCCTGAAGTGGGTCACTTATGAGATGAGTTGGGACAAAGTTTTCCTTAGCAAAAATATGTTATTCGATGCTTTGTTAACGAGATATTAACGAAAAATCCCGACTAATCAGAGCGCGAGACTGCCGGCCTCCTTTTGTTACACCCTATACATTTCAAACGGAGGCAACAGAACGTTCTGGGTTACGGTATCCCATGGGTGGTCGAATCAGTAGGGTAGTATAGTGTGGTCTTTGAGGGTTAAATATCATGTTGTCAATTATTAAACTGTTCTATGAGATTCTTAACTGTACCACTGCAATCAAGTGCAGCCAGGCTATGTCAAATATTAATATGAATTTATCATGTCAATATCACCTATCATCCCTAGTAGCAATTACTTTGCATATTACTGATGGATCGAAATCTACACCTACCACTTTCAAAGATCATCACGTGTCTCGTATCTATATATGTAACTGTTTACATACTATGTAAGTACTTCCTTACCAGTTTCGTCAAATATTCTTTTAACACCGTACAATGTCCAATTTTCGTCCGGTATTATTCCTCCTTGTAAGGCTTTATACGGTGGCCACACACATTCTTTTTTGAGAGGTGTCAGCCACTTTGCTCGTACAACACTGATGCCTCCTCCACCTTCACTACCGTCGTGAATTGAATTAAATTCGACCACTTTGTACATTTTAAAATTATAATAATTACTTGGTCTAGGCAAATGAAGATCGCCGTCGCGTGCGTGACTTCACGAACTCACGTGACTCACGCACGATTCGGTTGATTTGCTGGCGTCAGCTGACGTCGTGACACGCAGCATTCTGTTCTTTGTTTCAAATGCCATTGTATGACATAAAACAAAACAATAATAAATCAATATATATTCGTATACATAAAAAAGCGCGTTGCAATGCCGACGCGGTATCATGCTCAAAGTTGTATTAACGTTGTAAATTTCCATGTTATTTAACCAACGGTAATAATTGTGGACCCAACGTTTTCTATCCGTTGGCAAAATGTCATAACTTTTTGTCGTTGGCCCTATGTTGGGAATTTGTAGGCAAAAACACTAACCATATCCCAACGAACTCCCAATCAATGCTACTAGGGATGTCAATAATTTCATAATTTTCATGATTCGCAGTTACGTGTATATTTCATAATATGGATGTATGTTGTACAACGTGTACGCGCATAAGGATAACAGTTGTCATACTTTATATCTGTTTAAGTGAAAGAATATGTATTTATATGCTCAGTCCATATATCATCTTGATATGTTAAATTTATATCACAATGAAAAATTGATAACACACTCGTTAAAATAATGCATATAGTATATACAAAGTGATAAACTTACATATACAAAACATTGAAAAGGAAGAATTTCCATTTGTCTAATTCTGTATAGTGTAATGATATATCTTATACTATAAACTTAAAAGATCATTCTATGAGACTGTGCAGATATAAGTGAATTTGTTGCCGCAATCGTTTTCATATTACCTGTAGAAAGTTTTCTACATACACACCTGTCTACAAAGTATAGAAAATTTGGTTGTTTCGAAGGAAATGAAACTCAAAGCAAAGATACAATTTTTGGAAGCAATCTTAACAATGTATTATATTCTTACGTGAGATAGTGATCTTGAACATGCCTCTAATACCTTTCACAATTACTTAGAAAATTACAACATAATAATCGGCTATAAATTATATAACACTACCCTCAGTCCTTGTAATTTACTACCATCAAATAGTTCTGGCACTAATTTCCGAACGAGTTTTCGAATGAAGTGAACACACTTATTAAGCCTCGTGCACTATTCAATAAGTATTGTATTACTATTCTTTGAATTAAATTAGACCTGAACCAACATGGAAATAATGCTTTGGGTCAAATTAACCCATACAGCGCGCAAGGGTTAAACACATACTTAACATTGTTTACACACTAAATACGATTTACATTTTCTTTATAACGTACAAAATTAATAAGGTTTTGTTTATTTCATACTTTTAGTGATTTTCTATCATTGACATAAGTCGATCTTATTCTACGTTAATGGCATAAATGTTTGGTAATTTATGGACATAAGTGTAAAAACATTGAGATTATCTTCATTCTTAAAACTTTATTAAAATCACACAAAATCAATGTACGTCTTCCCAATGTTTATTAAAAATTATCAAATTTGATGGTTCAGTTACCGTTCCTATCACTTATATGAAAACATTTGAGTAGTATAATATTAACACGTGGTATACACAGAGGTGATACCAATCTTCTATGCCAATGTTCATGCGATAAGCACATTTCCGAACATTTCGAAATTACGCATTTATCTTAAATACATCACATGTTTTTCTTTTCTCAAATCATGACAACATTTATGACTACTTCATCATAAATCTGTACAGATAACAATGATAATTATCAAACAATGAATTTCATTTTTCATTTAGGCCACTAATGTTCTTTCAACTTTTATATAAAAAACAAAATGTCTTATTTAAAAAGACCCTGAAGTAACCTGAAAAACTACAGAAAAAAGCTACATTTTGCCCATCAATTGTCTTCAAAACAAAGAAAGAGTTTCTTATACTTTACGAAAGTAGTCTCACAAATATTATGTAGATGGTATAGAAATCGAATTAACTTCTTGAGACCTAACTTCTTAAGATTTTTTGTGGAATTTGTTGATATGGGACAAGACGGTTTAAATTTCAGAACATACCTTAAAATTATTGTACACTGTAATGTGAACAGACGTAATGTAACACGAAATGCAAATTGTTTTTTTTATACAATGAAATTCCTGTCTAATGTATCTTAAAAAATGTTAGAACTTTTTCAATAACTTAATACAATACCATTGTTGTTTGCGCCCCTTTAAAATGCAAGTGCAACGAATTAGTTACCATTGCTTCGAAATGATCAAGCTAGATCAACTACCATTCACTTTGGCTTAATACCATTCATGGTGCAAACGCTACGATTCTGAAAATAAACTTTCTTTTGTCCAAGAACTAGATTGCGGTAATTTAAAATGACTGATCCATTTCCACGCATAGGCGTAGCCAGGAGGCATTTGTCCCCCCCCCCCTCTCAAGGGAGACAGTGGTCTTTGCCCTATCCCAAAAGGAAAAAAATTGGATTGTGCCCTTACTATCATACGAGAAATTAATATCATGAAATTTACCTTAAGATAAATTTTGATACCCCATAATGGATAACCTAGCTACGCCTATGTTTCCACACATATTAACGCTTATACACCTCCAAATTATTCTGTTGTAGATATTTTTCAGACAAACCGAGCTATAAAATAGCGAAGAAATATCTCAGCGATAATTTACCTGATTTCGATTGGTTGCGATCAAAGATATCTTTGATCCTAGCAAACGGACACCTGACCATCAGCCCACCGCGTGCACTGGCTCCTGGATTTAAAGATGTCGGCGGGATTCACATACCGCTGTCAGGTCCACCGCCGTTGCCAAAGGATCTCCAGAATTATCTGGACAACCAACGGGAAGATGGCGTTATTTATTTTAGTCTTGGATCGCAACTAGACGGGACAACCATGCCGGAGCAGGTACTCGTTGCCTTTTACAGGGCGTTTGAGCAACTACCACAGCAAATACTCTGGAAGTGCACCGAAGAGAAAATGCCCACCCTGCCCAGGAACGTTAAGTGCATCGAATGGGCACCCCAACTCTCCATATTGTGTACGTATATACGCTTTTTTACTTCTATCCACTACGGTTCAACTGTCGACCGAAACATTATCTAATGGTAATTACAAAAAGACCAACGAACGGTTTTACCTCGAACTCTCAGGGTTATCTATGATTAAAGCTTTACGTTATGTCTAACAAGTTGCTAAACTTTTTGAAGTGAATTGCGTTTATATAGATATTTATGAGGAAACTGTTTCTAGATAGAAAACGAAATATTGTCTCGAAAGGTGATAACACACTTTTTTAATCAAAATTCGGGATATTGTTGTACAATTTCACGGATTTAACACGCTGGCTGCGCGAATTTGTATATCTATTAATAATAAAATACCTACATTTCTTTAAGTTTTTTCTGTTAAAAATATAAATATTTATATGTAGACTACTAAATTTGTGATTTTGATCGTCACTTTGCTGATTATACGCACAATATTGTAAATGTTATTATTTAGAAATTGAAGTTTTTGGCACATTTGATTAGCATCTATCACCGATGACGATCGTGGCAGTTAATGTGTTAATACTATTACTTTTCTTTAGTTATACATACTGTAACGAAAAACAAACAGGCATCAATTATTTAATCTTGTGAATATAAAAAACTGCATGACGGTTCCTTATCAAGTATTTAATTTAGTCATAAGAACATCTACTTCCGGCGACAAAAATATAATATTTCGAAAAACTGGGATCTATCGTAAATCAGTTATTTATGAATAAGAAAATATATGTAGTAGTAAAAAACGAAGTTCACCTTTAAATCTCCGAAATGCCTCCACTTACGAAAAAAATATATGCATTACATAATGTATCCCTCCAAACCATACAAATTTTCTATAAAAAATTTGTTCATACAATGCATACTTTAGAAGTACCCATTAAAATAACACGAAAAGGGAACTACAGCAGAAGACAACACAATGAGGTTTATTATAACTATTCTCGGTTCTTTACAGCTGCATTTTGAACACAATTGTTAGCATGTCCAACGTTATATGTATATCTGCACGTTTTCGATTTTTAGACAGAATCTGCTTTTTTATGTAAAAAATCGAAAGCTTTTTTATAATTAGAATTTGAAACAATGAAATGAAGGAAGTATTATTCATATAACATTGTAGAAACAAAAAGAAGAATTTATGAACATTTCACACATTCAAACTATACAGGGTGTTCGACAACTAGTGGGAAAAAATTTAAGGGATGATTCTTTGAGGCAAAATAAGACGAAAATCAAGGATAACGAAATTGCGAAAAATGCTTCGTTTGTTAGTTATAAGAGTTTAAAAATTGACCGAAATCATGGCAATCCGCGCGCACGGAGTGTCAGCGGATCACGGCTCAACAGGGGCGTACAGTCACTTTAAAGACTCAACGACGTGCAGGAACAGTCGGTAGAACAGCTGTTTACTTACCTCGTAGAAGATGTCGATAACTTGTGCCCGCGGTATTTGAGTCGAATCCATTTGTATCGCATTAACTCTGATTACTCGATAAAATTCGCAACAAATGTAATTATCTTCTTACGAATATTATCGAGTAGAGAGGGTTAATGCCCCCTCTAGTTGTCACGTATCACAATTGTCCTGTCCACGAGTATCCATGAAATTAATCCGCACACGCACGTACACCACAGAAGTCCGCGAAAAATGTCCACACACACTGAGCCATTGTCCCGTCCGCGAAAAATGTCCATACACACTGCGCGATTGTCCCGACCGCGAAAAATGTTCACACACTGCGCGATTAAGTAGACCCGCGAGCTGTTCCTCCGTTGGGTTTAACACTCTATAGGTTACACAAAACTAACACTCAAAATAATTAATTTAAAACTATTTAACACTAACTTTTATACTAATTTTTAACACGATATAATTAATAAAACCTACAATATTTAATAATACCTGCAATAATGAATAAAACCTACAATATTTATTAAAACCTGCAATAATGAATAAAATCTACAATATTTAATAAAACTTGCAATAATTAATCAAATCTACAATACTTAATAAAACCTACAATAATTAATAAGACTTACAATAATTAATTTGCACTATTTATAACGACGACATACGCGACACTACTAAATAATCACTACGTAATCGCTAAATAAACTAAAACTTAGTTTTCCGAAGATGAACTCTATTTGCTCGTAGAATGCAAAGGGCACCGTTCGGAAAGGACGACTGATATTGTTGAACTGATCCTCCCTCGTTAGGATCGATGTGGCGTAATAGGTCGATCCCCACTCTTTCATGGTCAATACTTTTTGGGAAGGAAAAACTGCATGGGAAAGTGTCTTGGAGGTCGCGTTTCTTTTCGTATATTCTTAGAGCAACATCTGTATTTTTTTCTCATACACCACTCGGGGCCTCGAGGCTACTTGGCCACGATGCCGAGGGAGCGCGCGTCTGGACATTATAAAACTGCCTCTTGTCTTCTGCAGGACGACCACCCGCCGATTTCCTGTAACGTCTTACTGCCATCGACGAAGACCTTGCCTATTGTGTTTTCGGCCGTCCCTCTAGACATTAACTTGTAAAAAGAACTTTCAACCTCGAATTCCAATTCCATGTTAGAAATGGTTCATATTACACCGAATGTATGTGTTTAACAATTTTATTTATTTTAGTTTCTTAGTTTCTTCATGCATCGTAATGAAGGTGCGGCAAATTTCATCTTAGTTTCATTCTAATATCATTATACGTTTTGTATGATCCATGTTAATTGCATATTATTTTTTTGCGGAAACAAGAACCTCAAACACTTGGAGTAAGATCGAAGTGGTAATAAAATGTGCAATGCACATAAAACATACAGTAAGTCCATATTCAATATTTCAGGAATAAACAGCGGCGCGCTCCGTCTCAGGTAGCAAGCCGCCTTCGTCGGTCGACCGTAAGCGGCTGGTGTCATTCATACCTGAATGACTTTACATTTAGGGGGTGACTGTGTGGACGAGCTTGTCCTCCGTCGCGGGGTGCCGAACGATGTTTTTAAACGAGTGCATGCGTTAATTGCTTATCGTTCGAAGCTTCGCTCGATAGGATAATATCTTTATTCCTGAAATATTAAATATTGACTTACTGTATGTTTTATGTGCATTGCACATTTTATTACCACTTCGATCTTACTCCAAGTGTTTGAGGTTCTTGTTTCCGCAAAAAAATAATATGCAATTAACATGGATCATACAAAACGTATAATGATATTAGAATGAAACTAAGATGAAATTTGCCGCACCTTCATTACGATGCATGAAGAAACTAAGAAACTAAAATAAATAAAATTGTTAAACACATACATTCGGTGTAATATGAACCATTTCTAACATGGAATTGGAATTCGAGGTTGAAAGTTCTTTTTACAAGTTAATGTCTAGAGGGACGGCCGAAAACACAATAGGCAAGGTCTTCGTCGATGGCAGTAAGACGTTACAGGAAATCGGCGGGTGGTCGTCCTGCAGAAGACAAGAGGCAGTTTTATAATGTCCAGACGCGCGCTCCCTCGGCATCGTGGCCAAGTAGCCTCGAGGCCCCGAGTGGTGTATGAGAAAAAAATACAGATGTTGCTCTAAGAATATACGAAAAGAAACGCGACCTCCAAGACACTTTCCCATGCAGTTTTTCCTTCCCAAAAAGTATTGACCATGAAAGAGTGGGGATCGACCTATTACGCCACATCGATCCTAACGAGGGAGGATCAGTTCAACAATATCAGTCGTCCTTTCCGAACGGTGCCCTTTGCATTCTACGAGCAAATAGAGTTCATCTTCGGAAAACTAAGTTTTAGTTTATTTAGCGATTACGTAGTGATTATTTAGTAGTGTCGCGTATGTCGTCGTTATAAATAGTGCAAATTAATTATTGTAAGTCTTATTAATTATTGTAGGTTTTATTAAGTATTGTAGATTTGATTAATTATTGCAAGTTTTATTAAATATTGTAGATTTTATTCATTATTGCAGGTTTTAATAAATATTGTAGGTTTTATTCATTATTGCAGGTATTATTAAATATTGTAGGTTTTATTAATTATATCGTGTTAAAAATTAGTATAAAAGTTAGTGTTAAATAGTTTTAAATTAATTATTTTGAGTGTTAGTTTTGTGTAACCTATAGAGTGTTAAACCCAACGGAGGAACAGCTCGCGGGTCTACTTAATCGCGCAGTGTGTGAACATTTTTCGCGGTCGGGACAATCGCGCAGTGTGTATGGACATTTTTCGCGGACGGGACAATGGCTCAGTGTGTGTGGACATTTTTCGCGGACTTCTGTGGTGTACGTGCGTGTGCGGATTAATTTCATGGATACTCGTGGACAGGACAATTGTGATACGTGACAACTAGAGGGGGCATTAACCCTCTCTACTCGATAATATTCGTAAGAAGATATTTACATTTCTTGCGAATTTTATCGAGTAATCAGAGTTAATGCGATACAAATGGATTCGACTCAAATACCGCGGGCACAAGTTATCGACATCTTCTACGAGGTAAGTAAACAGCTGTTCTACCGACTGTTCCTGCACGTCGTTGAGTCTTTAAAGTGACTGTACGCCCCTGTTGAGCCGTGATCCGCTGACACTCCGTGCGCGCGGATTGCCATGATTTCGGTCAATTTGTAAACTCTTATAACTAACAAACGAAGCATTTTTCGCAATTTCGTTATCCTTGATTTTCGTCTTATTTTGCCTCAAAGAATCACCCCTTAAATTTTTTCCCACTAGTTGTCGAACACCCTGTATAGAGTGAGTCATGCAACCGTAAAAAAAATAATATATGTATTTTGTTTAGTTAAAGTTACAAAAAAATATTAGAGAAAAAAGATGGATGGTTCAAGGGTCACGGTAGACTACATATTCACGATGATATCTATTTCGCAAGTACAATAATGCATATGTGCATTTTACAGTCGCACTATTTCTTTAAGTAGGAATTTCCTTTTTTGTACACATCGAATGTTCTTGCTATTCTTCGTAAAATA